TTCTCCCTCTACCTGTGTCTCTGCCTCTCTCTCTGTGTGTGTCTCTCACGAATAAATAAATTAAATCTTAAAAACAAACAAACAAAAAAAACCCCAAACCAAAATGGGATGCTAAACCCAAAGTCCAGGATGGTGGTTACCACAATGGAGAGGGGCGAGGGGCCGGGCTGGGGTGGAACACACAAGGGGAGGAAGTTACAGAGAGGATGGGATGGTGAATTAGGGGGTGTCACAAGGTAAAAAGGAAAGAGAGACAAAGGGGGTGGGTGGGCGGGAAAGGCTGGAGAGTGAGCCTTGGCAGAGAGGTAGGCTGGCTCCTTCTCACCTTGCTGTCAGAGTCCACACGCTCATCCACAGAGTAGGAGTCGTAGTAGAGGCTGAAGTCATCCCCCACTACTGTCTCCCACTCCTCCAGGGACCCTGGGTCCCCTTTCTCCATGGTCACTTCTCCTGAACCCCGTGCAGAACCCAACTCCTCCGACTAGGAAAAGATCAGAAAAATGGAAGCTGCTGGTACTTCCCCTCCCAACCATTTCCCTTGAGGGCAGGATGCAGCCCCCCGAGGTGGAGAGGCCTTGTCTTCAGCCTCTTTAGGCTCACCAGGCCACCTCCGGAGTTCAGCTTCCTCCTTTTGGCCACATCTGGAAGGAGAGAGAGAAAGGAATAAGGCTGGTTCTTCGACCCTCCAGACAGGATTTATCAGGTAGCAGGTGGGTGGGGGGTGGGGGTGGCGCTGACCTGAGGTCATCTTCCCCAGCGAGTGCAAGTCATCACTCATGCGGAAATGCTGCACTTCAGGGGGCCGCTTCTCTGGGACGGGAGGCTAGCGGCAGAGAGGGAGCACACTTTAGGGTCAGGGAGCATCTGCATTCAGTCAAGGGTGAGCCACACCCTCAAAAACGTCACCCGAAGCTCCAGTAAGCCATAATGTGGCAATCACAAGAACTGCTGTCTCTCAAGAAGAAGGGTATGAGGCACATTCCACACCTAACACTCACCCGAGGGAGCGGGCCCTCTTTACCCATTTTACAGATGAGAAAATAGGTTTGTGCCTTGCCCAAAGCTACCTAAACCATACCCAAACCCCCAAAAACACTGTCACAAAGCTTCTGAAATTCTGGGGCTTTTTGTCCTTTCCCTCACCCTCCTTCCCTGTAGGGAGTCACAGTAAAACCCTTAGAAGCCCTATGAAAAAGGAAGCAGGGGGAGTTTCAAAGGGAGGGAAAAAGCTCCCTTGGGGCTTGCTTTGAGGTAGAAAGCAAGTTAGAAGTTCCTTAGTCATTATCATAAGAATAATTGGGACAATTAACTACAACATTAATCCTCTAACCTTTTTTTATTTTTAAAGATTTTACTTATTTATTCATGAGAGACAAAAAAAAAAAAAGGCAGCAACAGAGGCAGAGAAGCAGGCTCCCTGATGTGGGACTAGATCCAGGATCATGACCTGAGCCAGATGCTTAAACCACTGAGCCACCCAAGTGCCCCTCTAACCTTTTTTACAACTCCCCTCTCCCCAAGAATATAAACTTGTCTGTCTGTTCAGATCAAGCCCAGCCCAGAATCTGACACACAGTAGCCCCTAGGTAAGTATGGCGAGCCCTGAAGGGATGAGAAACAGTCTGAAGCTAAACTGTAAAAAAAAAAAAAAAAAAAAAAAAAAAAGTCCACAAGGGGTACACAGTGGGTTACCTGGGTCTCCCCACCTCCACCCCTCCCACTCATTCTCACCTGCCCATTTCCTGGTTTGGACATGGTTTTTCTGGCTCGGTGGACCTTGGGCTGCCCCTCCGGGCTGGGTGTGGCTGCAGGGGGTTCAGGCCCCGCTGCTGCCCCCTGGGCTCCCGGCATACTCAGCAGCCGCATAGCCAAACTCTGGACTGAGGGGGGTGATTTTGCTGCCCCTGTCATTGACATCTTGGCGCGGCTGGGACAGGCACCCCCCTTGCTGGGGGAAGAGGGGAATGACTTTGTGGCATGGCCTGGAAGACAAATAGGCAGACAGAAACAAGGTATGAGGAAAGGTAATCAGAGGATACCCCCCTCACTGCCCCCCAGGCCCCTGACTCCCCAGCCTCTCACCCAGCAGGATTCGGCCCCCGTGGAGGTCCCCATCTCCCTCCAGATTCTCAGGTTCATCCCCAATGAGCGGTGTGGCTCCTAGGGGGGTGTCAGCCCCCTCATCACCCACGGTGACTGTGACAGAGGCTGGGGAAGAGGGGCCAGCAGGCTCCAGGGAGTCAGGGCTGGCCTTGGGCAGGGTCTCCTCGCCACGAGGGGTGTCCCCCAAAGAGCCGTGAACTGTAAGGGGAAAGAAAAAGTTCAGGGCTAAGGTCTCGGGGAATCCTGTGTTGGGGGAGGTGAAGGTCCAGCTGGGCCTGTTCAGCCGCACTCACCTCTCTCAGAGGCTCCTCTGGGCTCCTTCTCCAGCACCAGCGCCCCCATCTCAGCAGGGGCCTCCCCCTGGCAGGGGACACAAGGTATAGGAGGGCTGGTCAGTCCGCTAGGAAGTTGGGGAGCCCAGGACGCCTGGGCTCTGGGAAGAGAGAGTAGGCTCCGGGGCCTACCTCTTCCTCGATGGGGGCCCCCCCGTCCGCGGCCTCGGCTGCCCTGGGGGGCCGCACGACCCCTCCCCCGGGCCCGCATCAGCCCCCTCCCTCTCGGCAGACCCCGCATCTCTGGGGCCTGGAAAAGAGGAGGGGGAGGGGGCGGGGCCTCTGCGCCCCGGCCCCGCCCCCTCCTCCCGGCTGCACGCGCCGCTCCCCCTTTGTCCCCCAGGCCGCGGGGACCCCGGGCACCAACCCCTCCAGCGCCCGCCGCTCCCCAGCCCGGCGGACGGCCCCTCGTGCCCCTCGCGCGCGCTCCTGGGGCCCCGGCTCCCGCTGCCCACTCGGGGGCAGCCGGCGGCTGCACGCGCGCCTCCGTGCCCACTCCCCCCACCTCCCACCCCCTGGTCCCCTCATCCGCCCCCGGTGCTGGCCCTCCGGATTGCTGTAGGTCTCGTCCGGGCCCCCCGGCCCCGTTGCACCCCCGGAGCATTGCACGGGCGCGCGCTTCCCCCGGGCGCGCGCGCGGGCATGCACCCGCCTCTCCCCCTCCCCTTCCGCACCTCGGCGGCCGCCGCCGCTGCAGCTCCCGCCGCCGCCGCCATCGCCGCTTGCGCGGGGGGCCGAGCCGGCGCGCGGCCGCCCCGGGTCACGTGGGCGGGGAGGGGGGGCGAGGAGGGGCCTTAAAGGAGCCACCGCGCGCTTTCTGGCCATTTCCCCCCCACGCCGGGAGCGGCCTCGGCGGTGGCAGCGGCCGCCCTAAGCTGGGGGCTTCCGGGGGCGCGTTCCCGCCGCTGCGGGCGTCGGCTGCGCGGGGAGCCGAAGGCGAGGCGCGCCTGGCCCGGGGGTGGCTCCTCCGTCCCCGCCTGTCTGTAGGTAACGAGGGCGGTGTCTGAGCCTCCCGGGCCGCGGCGGCTGTCTTCCCGATGAGGCCCGCGCCTGCTTCCCCCGCCTCGGTGCGGTCTAGTTTCTGGGTCTCCAGATAGCAAGTGTCGGCCTCGCTTCTCCCCCGAGCGGGAAGGGGGCAGCGGGAACGCACGGAGGACACCTGTGCTCTCGACTGCTTCGTACCGGCAGGAGCAGCGTCCTCTCCTGAACCCGGGGCTCAGGGTCCCTTCTGTTTGAGCCGGGTATGTTAAGGCACCAGGTGCACCGGGGACCTGAGTAACCCCCAGAGGCTCCAGTCATCACCGCCTGCCGAGTATACTATACTAAGGAGCCTTTTTTCTTTTTTTTTTTTTTGGTCACGAACCTAGGCATTCCGTGGGTCATAAGCCCAGTTGACAGAGGAAGTATGAATGATATTACATCGAGATAAAAACCTTGATAGCATTATTTAGGGTACCATCCCTTTGGGTATTATATTCTGGTCAAAGTTTGGAAAAAACCCTGTAAGATCTCACACGCAGTATTTGATAGAAGCCCGTGGTTTGGCTCCAGGGCACCTGAGGCCAATTCAAGGCCTTCTGGGAACTGTAGTTCTTTGGTTAAGAACTATTCAGAGCTTTGTGGGACTTGTAGTCTTCCCCATGCCCTAATCCAAACTTTTTTTTTTTTTTTTTTTGGCTTTCCCAGGACATGAACCCTTTTCTCAGAACATAAATGCCCAAACATAGGCTCCTGCTTAAAATTTTGGTGGGTATAATGATCACCTTTATAGTTCATCCCTAGCACTGATACCAAACTCTTGTGATAGATGGGGAAGTCGTGTGTTATCACCACTACCAATCGTGGAACAGAAGTGTGAGAGATCTGCCAGGTGCTGAGGTTGCAGAACTGGGAGGGTCCCCAGCCAGAGAAGCACACTTGTCACAGTCCCTTGGTCTTGTCAAGTCTCCTCCAGGCATAGGACCTCTGCATGAACTGTGCTGAGTAGTGAGCAAACAGCATAAAAGGGAGAGGCTGTCCAGGGTGGGACGGTCATACACACGCAGTTGCCAAACAGAGTATAAAGAAAAAAAAAAGTTTGATTTTTTTAAAATTTATTTTGTGGAAAACAAAAGCAGAAAAACTAAAACCCCAAACTCCAGAAAAAATCCTAAAAAATACGTTTTGTTTTCTTAAAAAATACTGTATAAGTCTCTACTCCTCTCCCTCCCCCCAACAGCCCTCCTTGTATCCTTTCATCTAAGTGCCCTACCCCCCACCCCTGCCACTATTCATCCTTCTTGTTATTGTCCCCACTCTTCCATATCTACCCAGGATGCTCACCCCCAAGTTCTCTTACCTGGCACCTGACATGGTCCTTCCTATTGCTTTGGTGAGCCTTTACCCACAGTCCCATTCCCCCAGCATGCAAGAACTGTCTCCCACTTCCTTTTCTGGGATTCAATAATCCTTTCCCCCTACCACTCCCTCTCCCAAGGATCTATTCTATGCAGGAGCAAGTAAGCTGCCTCCTGCCAAATTCCCTCCCAATTCCCACCCCCACCCCCCATCTCAAGAAATATCAGACCCTCTCCCTGGGCAGCTTTAACCAGGAATAAATCATCTTCCTCTTTTTTTCCCCCTTCTCATTCTATAAGACCCTTTCCCTCCCTCCACATATCCATGCACCTCTAAGAGAAGAAAATTTTTCTCTGGGAGCCCATATTGCCTTGGCCTTCTCAAAGAACCCTCTCTCATTCTTTTTCTTTTTCTTTTTTTTTTCTGAAAAGGCAGGGTCTTCTGTCCAAGGAATCTTTGGCCCCTCTCTCAGGATGTGTCTGCTCGGGTTCCCCAGCGTACCTGCCTGTTCCCAACCCTCCCATCCCCTATTCTATTCTCCTGGGCCAGGGAGCTCCCTTCACACTCAGCCCAGGGACCCCCCACCCCCACCCCACACCGCTGGGCCTTGGAGCCTGCTCTGCTAGCTCTAGCGGATGAGGACATTGATCTCCGCCACGCTGGCCTCCAGCACGTTCTCTGCGGTGGTCTTGCCATGCTGCTCCTTGAGGTGCCGCCTAATGGCAGGCTTGTGAGCGAAGCGCACGTCGCAGTAGGAGCAGCGGTAGGGCCTGGCTCCGGAGTGCAGGTTGAGGTGGTCGTGCAGTGTGGACTTCTGCGTGAAGCACTTGCCGCAGATGCCACACGAGTGCGACTTGACGCCGCGGTGCACGTTCATGTGGCGGTTGAGGTTGCTGCTGTGGTTGAACTGCTTGCCGCAGCGCGGGCACATGAAGATGAAGTGCTGCGCCCGCATGTGGAAGACCAGCTTCTCCACACCCTGGAATACTTCCGGGCACTTGGTGCACTTGATGTTTTTTAGGGGGTTTCCACTGGAAAAGCCCCCAGGCAGGGGTCCCCGGCTGCCCCCTGCCCCCAGGCTGCCCCCCGCCCCCCGGGCAGCCATGGCCACCGCTGCTGCCTCCACCAGGCCTGAGGTGGCCCCCACGCTGGCCCGGCCTCCAGGGATCAACAGCAAACCCTCCCCCTCTGCGTCCTCTGAGAGGCTATAGCAGGCTTTCACTACACCCTGCTGTGGGGCCACAGTGCTGGGGGGCACGCTGCTCTGGGTCAGCTCTCCCAGGTGGCCGCCCACGGAGCCTCCGATGCTCAGGCCTCCTCCCAGACCTCCAGGAGGTTTGAGCCGGTGGGCCACCTCCAGGGCCGACTCCACCTTGACGATGCAGATGTCAGACACGTCCTCGTCCTCATCCTCATCTTCTTCCTCGGCCTTCAGCTCCAGGTCCTCATCCAGGGGGAACTCCAGTTTCACAGGCCTCAGGAGTGGAGGGGGCAGAGGGGGTGGGGGTGGAGGCTTGGGGGCTGGCTTTGGGGTCCTGGCTGGAGGGAGGAGGGATTTGGTGGCACTGACGCTGCTCACAAGGCTGGCATCACTGATCCCGTCCTCTTTGAGGCCTATTTTGGGCTCAATGAACTGGCTGAGGGCGTTCCTGCATTTCTCCACCACGTGCTCCATCTGCAGGTAGGAGGCAGCCGTCAGGTAGTTGACGATGTCCCTGACAGCGAATTCCAGCGCACCGGTGTAGCAGGAGAGGAGCAGGTCCGCCACGATGCGCGCACTGTGCATCAGTGAGACCTGCAGCTCGGAACTGGGGTTCAGCAGGAACTGGTCCCTCAGGAAAGGCGAACACGCGGCCAGGATGACCTTGTGGCCACGGAACTTGAGGCTGTCGGCCACAATGGTCACGTCGCAAAACCGCTCCTCTGCGCGGAGCTGGTTCATGTTCCGCAGGGTAGCGGCCTCGTGGCCGGGCAGCTGGAAGCGCAGGACTTCCACCCCAGAGGCCATTGTGGCAGGGGTGGGCAACCCTGGTTGGGAAGGAAACCGGTCAGAGACAAAGGTCTCTGGCTCTCCTAGGCCAGGGCTCCGGGCCCCTCGCCCCCATTCTTGCCCAGCCTCCCAGCTTCAGATCTCCCAGTCTTCAGGCCTCTTCCTCAGTTTCCCCAGTCCCTGGGGAAGCGCTCGGGCCTCCGAGGACGGAGGCGTGGTTCCCGGGGGCGGGGCAGCGGCGTCCACACCGCCCGCCCCCCCCCCCCCCCGCCCGCCCGGACCGGGCTAGCCCGCGCACCCACGGGGAAGGTAGGAGAAACCGCGGGCAGAGGCCTGGGGCTCGGGGGCTCCGGGGTGGCCCGGGTGCAGCCTCTTCTCACCCCGCCCCCTTTCCCCGCTGCTTCATTCCTCCGCCCCCCCTTTGCACGTTTGCACGCGCCTTTCACGTCCTCCCCCAGCCGCCTGCACGCTCCGTGCACGCCCCCCCCACGTTCAGAGCTCCGTGGCACGCCCCCCCCAGCCCACGACCCTGAGTGCACGCGCCTCTCACCTGGCCCGGTTCCGCGCGCTGTTTTTCCCCCCCTATCTCCCCCACCCCCCCCGGGGTTGGCGGCGCCCCCGAACACGGGCAGGGCCCGGGCAGCGCGCAGGCGCGGGGGTGCACGAGGCGCGCGCGCGGGGCCAACTCCGCGTGGGCGCAGGGAGGGAGGGGCGGGGGCGGCTCGCGCGGTGTGTTCCAGGCCCCGCGCGCCTCGGCGTCGGCGAGAACTCGGGGAGGAGGAAGAGGGGAGGGAATTAAAGGAGCAGGATTCCCCCCTTCCCGACCCCCCTTTCTTCCCCGGCCCCCCCACACGGTTAAAGGGCCGGACGGCCTGGCCTCCCCTTTGGCCGATATTATTTGTCCGCCAGAGCGGAAATACGTTCCACACCCCCTTTCCCGCTCCCCCTCCTCCGTGCCTCCGGGCCTCGCGGCCCATCTGCGCGTGCGTGCCAAGGGCCGCGCGGAGCCCGCTGGCTCGGCCCGCCCCCCGTTCCCGGCGGCCCGCGGCGCGCGCCCCCGCCCGCGCTCCCCTGCCGCCACCTGCTCGCGCCGCTGGTGCGCCCTGGTCCCGCTGTGCGGGCGGGAGAGGCTGCGCCGCCCCTCCCGGGGACCCAGGCCGCCCGGCGGCGGTCGCTGCTGGCCACGGGCGCATCCTCGGCGGAGGATGCTCACAGCCCTTCCAGCCACACTTGAAGACTTTTCAACTCCTAGGAAGCTAGTGACCACCCAGCCTTCCTGGCCTAAAAGAGGTTTTAACTTGCTGCAGAAACACCGCAGTGCCTTCCACTTACCTCTTTCTCAAAGTTGTGTAACATCACACCTCTCCGACCTTCCCTCCATTCTCAGGCTTGATCCCACTTCTTGCCAAATCAAACGTTCTCCAGTTGTACGCACTGTCGATAACCTTGCCCATTTCCTCCCCACTGTACAATTAGCCCTGGTATTAATTCTTCTGATTATGCGAATATTTATATCAGTACGATTTTACCGTCTTTAATCTTCCTGACTGCAGCTGTTCCTCCCATTCCTGCTCCGCCATGGGCCTGGCAAGGTCAGAGCTGCACGGCCCTAAACAAAACGTCCTCCTCAACTCGGCACCCCTGCCTTCTCTTTCTGTCACTCCCAAAGTAACCTGCAGTCTCCACAGCTTCCTCCTGAAGATTGCCCTCCCCCCCATCCTAGTACACTCACTTCCAATCCATCCAAATCCAGGTGAAAAAGCCCCTGCTTCCCTTTGATTGGATTGGCTGGTTATATACTCCAGGAGACCGGCTCATTTTTCTTACACATGGGTTTTGAGGAAACTGCTTGTTATATAATGGGTTCAATATTTGGTTCCCCCTAGACTGTAAACTTCTTGATTGAGGGAATTATGTCATGGGTTGTATTTTGCAAATAAAAGGCATGCAATAAATGATTTACTGCTGAAGTCATTCCCTTTCAGTGCAGCCAACATCCACCCAGAAAAAGTTTGTTCCTGGCTGAAACTGAATTCCTGAACTCAAAGGAATGACCTTTGGTGGAAAGCCGGGGCAGTTTAGGTGGTGCTTGACTCCTTGCCTTTTGCCTTTACTCTGCTTTTTTGTGCTTCCACCCAGTTCTCTTTATTCTAAAATGCCTCTTTATAGCAATCTCCTTTGTAGTCAGGCCATATAAATCTGAGAAAGAACTTTGGCTTTTGTGTCAGACACACCTGGCTCAAAGCCATATTCTATACATTTTTAAAAAAAGATTGATTGGGATCCCTGGGTGGCTCAGCGGTCTAGCGCCGCCTTCAGCCTAGGGTGTGATCCTGGAGACCCGGGATCCTGTCTCTCATGAATAAATAATAAAATAAAATCTTAAAAAAAAAGATTTATATTTTATATAAAAGATTTATATATTTTAGAGGGGGGAAGGGCAGAGAGAGAAGAGAAAGAATCTCAAGTGGACTCTCTGCTGAGCATGAAAACCCACCCAGGGCTTGATCTCAGGGGCTCCATCTCAGGACCCCGAGATCATGACCTGAGCTGAAATCAAGAGTCGGATGCTTAACTGACCGAGCCACCCAGGCACCCCCATATTCCATTACTTTTGAAAAGAGGGAAATTCCTTAATTCTCTGAATCCTAGCATCTTTGTTTTGAATTGGAGACCCTGGTTTTTCACAGGGCTAATGTGAAGTTTAAGGCATACAGGAGGTGCTAGAACAGAGATAGCTCTCTTCCTTTAATTGGGAGGCAGATTACAAAATCTTCAAAAGTACTTTAACTGAAATTCTGTTTCCCTGTCTCATTTCTTCTTTCCCTCATTGCCAAACCTCTCAAAAGAGTAGTTCACTCCAGTGAAATCAGAGATACAAAAACTGTCAAAGTAAGAACTGAAGTCTGTAAAGTTTTGTATCCTGTCACCTTCTTGCTACTTCTCCTTTCTGGGAGAGTGTGAATGGGACAGGGGGCCTAATCTCAGCTTGAAACTTAAGACAGGTGGTTCTTGGTGGCAAGTAGAGTTGAGAACTGATGAATCCTTCAAGTGCCAGGCCCGTCCAGCTACAGTTTCATGTGGAAATAAGCCATAGTGCACCAGGCTATCTTCTCCTGTACAGCCTGGTGAGGAGGTGTTTAGGGCTATTTTCCCACATAGCCCATGCAGGGGTATCTTGATCCTTGTCCCTTGGCCCCAGACTTCTGCCAATGTGAGATGAGGAAACCTCCTGTCCTTGGCTAGTGGTACCAAACTCCCTGGCATAGTGTCAAGGACAGTGGATTCAGGATTCTTAGTGGGCTTGAGAAATAAAATCTGACTATGGAGCAAGGAACAAGAGGAGACAGAAGGTCTAGGCTCTAGTTTAGGTTGGAGGCTGTCAACATCCCCGAGGTTTCAGTATTCTCTTCAAGAAAAGGAGGGATTGTCCTATGAAGTCTCTTTCAGTGCTGTGAGTCTTTAAAAGCCCAATCTGAAAAGAGATATGTGCATTTTTGTGTCTATGTCTGGGAGAAGTGGTCGAGGACTAAGCTAGCTCATGGCTTAGAGTATCACTGCTGGTTCCTGGTGAATGCTAACAGTGGTCTAGATAATCCTAGACAGAAATGGTTACACATTTCTCTGAGACCTTCAAGGTAGTTTTGGCAGTGGGTGTACTTTTGCCATATGCTCAGCCTAGGCCAGAATAATTATATTCCTTGAGCTACCAATAGGAAATATTGGACTTAGGGACGCCTGGGTGGCTCAGCCTCAGCGGGTGGGCATTTGCCTTCGGCTTTGGGAGTGATCCTGGGGTCCTGGGATCAAGTTCCGCACGGGGCTCCCTGCAAGGAGCCTGATTCTCCCTCTGCCTGTGTCTCTGCCTCTCTCTCTCTCTCTCTGTCTCTCATGAATGAATGAATGAATCAATCAATAAAATATTTTTAAAAAAGGAAATATTGGACTTAAATCCACAGGCTGATAAAACTTTTCGTGTATAACAACAAAACCTCCAACATCTCTTCCTTTCAGCACTGCCCTCACTGTAGGAACCCTGAGTCCTGCTCTGCTGCTCCCTACCTCTCCTTTTTGCCCGATCAGCCAACTTCTAGGCCTGCCAGTGTCTATGCAAATGGACCTCATCCACACCCCTAATTAAAAAAAAAATCTCCAGTTTATTTTATGTTTTCTTTTTAAAGATTTTTTTTATTTATTCATAGAGATACAGAGAGAGGGGGAGAGGCAGAGACACAGGCAGAAGGAGAAGCAGGCTCCATGCAGGGAGCCCAATGCGGGACTCGATCCCCGGTCTCCAGGATCGCACCCTGGATTGAAGACGATGCTAAACCACTGAGCCATCAGGGCTGCCTTTATTTTATGTTTTCTTAGAGTCACTTGCTTGGTTCAGGATTCAAAAAGTGTATTTTATCAATCAGAAAGGGAATCAATACCAGGTGGGGATTACTTGCTTGCTTATCATAAGAATGCATTTGATATTTATTTGGGAGAACATTTTTACCCTGGTGGGGGATGAGGACTCATAAATACGTGATCAAAAATATTTCTATCACCTTGGGAATTCTGGCCAATGAAATTGCTCAAGCAATAGCAGCTCAACAAAAAGCATTAGACTCTTTGGCCTGGATGATAGAATGGCCTTAGATTCTATTTTGCCAGAACAGGGAGGGATATGCAAGGTAATTAACTCTTCCTGCTGCATTTACATTAATTATTCAGCTGAGATAGAAACCCACCTAGACAGGTTCAAGCCACTTGGCTGCAACAAATTTCTGCCAAAGTTCTGTGAACAGAATGGGATTGGTTTTCTGGTCTGTTTTCTTGGATTCCTCAAGGAATTTGATCAGTACTCTGGGCATTAACCCAAGTGGGAGATCTATCTGCTCTTTTTATGATGTACCTACTCACACATGTGGCATGAGATGCTGCTTGAAGGCAGCAAAAGCAGGAACTAACTTGATGGTTCTCCAAAGCTTTGAAGTTAGGCCAGGTGCCAGAGGACTCACAGTTAGGAGCAAACCAGTTCCATTCCTCTAATCCTGATCTTTGCCCCTCTTCAGCCAGAAGTAGCTAGACCAGTGGTCATCCCTCAAGACTCAGGAGTGACTAGAAACAAGTGGGGGGAGGGGAGCTGAAACCTGGTACGCAAACTCCTGCAGAGCCCACAGCTGCCTCTGGCCAGTCTTGTAGCCCTTAGTTACTGTTAAAGAAACCTGTAAAATTGTCTCAAGAAATAACATTATGTTGCCTCCTGAAAAGTCTGTGGGATGCTATTCTGCTTGAGATGACAAACATAATGTGCCATTTTTGCAAGAAAATAATGATAATAATTTGCAGCTTAGTAATAGTCACAGGATGTAAAATGTCTGCTTTTAGAGATGACATCATGAAACACAATCTGCTGAGAATGTTTTGCAGTTCCCGGCTCCTAAAGAGGAACAGCCAGGCCCCTGCAGCAGACGACCACCTCTCTACAATCACACCAAAACCATACCAGGAGATGCCAAATGAGAGAAGAGGATCAAGAAAGGAAGTATTACAGTAGGTCCAATCCCTAATCAATCAGCATGATCCAAGAGCCTGAGACCCTAATCCTGAATTTTCACCCTTTATTTTATTTTTATTTTTGTTTACTTATTTTTTTAAGATTTTAAGATTTTTTTTAAATTTTTTTTTATTTTTTATTTATTTATGATAGTCACACAGTGAGAGAGAGAGAGAGAGAGAGAGAGAGAGAGAGAGAGAGAGGCAGAGACATAGGCAGAGGGAGAAGCAGGCTCCATGCACCGGGAGCTCGACGTGGGATTTGATCCCGGGTCTCCAGGATCGCGCCCTGGGCCAAAGGCAAGCGCCAAACTGCTGTGCCACCCAGGGATCCCAGATTTTAAGATTTTTAAGAGAGAGAGCACTAACTGGGGTGGGAGGGGCAAAGGGAGAGGGAGAAGCAGGCTCCCCCCTGAGCAGGGAGCCCAATTCAGGCTTGATCCCAGGACCCTGGGATCATGACCCAAGCCAAAGGCAGATGCTTAACCAACAGAGCCACCCAGGCGCCCCTGGATTTTAACCCTGTAAAAACCCCTGCTTGCAAGCCAGTGGGGAGTTTAGGACTGTGAGCATTAGCTCTTTATTCTCCTGGGTGATGTGGCACCAATAAATAGCCTATTTTTCCTCACCCCAAAAACAAAACCAAAAAGCCAAAAGTAACCAAAGCAACCCCTCCTACCGCCGTGCCAAACAACCAACCAACTAAACAAAATCAAAATCCAAATCCAAACCTCCAAACCCACAAAATTAGAAAAATGTAAAAGGGTACACACTGAAAGTTCTCCTGCCAACCCCCACCCAGTTCCCCTTCCCTCCAGCAACCAATATTAATGGTTTCTTCAAAGCTCCTTGACATTCAAAACTTTTAGTTTGACTTCATTTCATCCACTTCTTTCCTGAGATCACCCCCTGCTGATTGACAGCATCTGGAACTGTGTCCTTTCTGAAATTTGAAATGCCAGAGCCCCATTCCCTCAGTGACCCTCAGATCTCTCTCTCCTGGGAGGCAGCAAGCATCCCTGCCCCAGGTCCCAGGGAGACCTCCAGGCATCCTGTCTTCTCCTCTCTCCCTGTTCACCTGGGTACCACTCTCAGCTGCTCTGACCTAGCAGCATCCTTTACCTGGGTTCTCTGTGCACCAAGGAGAGCCCCTCAGCCCACCACGCTGTGCTGAACACCCGCCCCCCTCTCTTGAGTACCCCTACCCTTCTTCTGATCGCCTGCTCTCAGCAGCCCAGAGAGCCCTCCTTCACACCCCAGATATCCCTTTCTTTACTCATCCTTCTTCCATCCATTAAGATTTTATTTATTTATTTGTGAGAGACACACAGAGAGAGGCAGAAATATAGGCAGAGGGAGAAGCAGGCTCCATGTAGGGAGCCCAGTGTAGGACTCAATCCCAGGACACCCAGATCATGACCTGAGCCAAAGGCAAATTCTCAACCACTGAGCCACCCAGCTGTTCCCTACATTTCCATTCTTTTTTTTTTTTAAGATTTTATTTATTTATTCATGAGAGACACACAGAGAGAGGCAGAAATATAGGCAGAGGGGGAGAAGCAGGCTCCCAGCGAGGAGTCTGATGTGGGACTCGATCCCTGATCCCCGGGTCACGCCCTGAGCCAAA